TTATCTCATACTCCTGTAGCATCCCGGTAGTGAAGATGTGACCTTATCTCAGTCTCCTGTAGCGTCCCGGTAGTGAAGATGTGACCTTATCTCATACTCCTGTAGCGTCCCGGTAGTGAAGATGTGACCTTATTTCATACTCCTGTAGCATCCCGGTAGTGAAGATGACCTTATCCCATTCTCCTGTAACATCCGGGTAGTGAAGATGACCTTATCTCATACTCCTGTAGCATCCCGGTAGTGAAGATGTGACCTTATCTCATACTCCTGTAGCATCCCGGTAGTGAAGATGACCTTATCTCATACTCCTGTAGCATCCCGGTAGTGAAGATGTGACCTTATCTCATACTCCTGTTGCATCCCGGTAGTGAAGATGTGACCTTATATCATACTCCTGTAGCATCCCGGTAGTGAAGATGTGACCTTGTCTCATTCTCCTGTAGCATCCCGGTAGTGAAGATGTGACCTTATCTCATACTCCTGTAGCATCCCGGTAGTGAAGATGACCTTATCTCATACTCCAGTAGCGTCCCGGTAGTGAAGATGACCTTATCTCATACTCCTGTAGCGTCCCGGTAGTGAAGATGACCTTATCTCATACTCCTGTAGCATCCCGGTAGTGAAGATGACCTTATCTCATACTCCTGTAGCATCCCGGTAGTGAAGATGTGACCTTATCTCATACTCCTGTTGCATCCCGGTAGTGAAGATGTGACCTTATCTCATTCTCCTGTAGCATCCCGGTAGTGAAGATGTGACCTTATCTCATACTCCTGTAGCATCCCGGTAGTGAAGATGACCTTATCTCATACTCCAGTAGCGTCCCGGTAGTGAAGATGACCTTATCTCATACTCCTGTAGCATCCCGGTAGTGAAGATGACCTTATCTCATACTCCTGTAGCATCCCGGTAGTGAAGATGACCTTATCTCATACTCCTGTAGCATCCCGGTAGTGAAGATGACCTTATCTCATATTCCTGTAGCATCCCGGTAGTGAAGATGTGACCTTATCTCATACTCCTGTAGCATCCCGGTAGTGAAGATGTGACCTTATCTCATACTCCTGTAGCATCCCGGTAGTGAAGATGTGACCTTATCTCATACTCCTGTAGCATCCCGGTAGTGAAGATGACCTTATCTCATACTCCTGTAGCATCCCGGTAGTGAAGATGTGACCTTATCTCATACTCCTGTAGCATCCCGGTAGTGAAGATGTGACCTTATCTCATACTCCTGTAGCATCCCGGTAGTGAAGATGTGACCTTATCTCATACTCCTGTAGCGTCCCGGTAGTGAAGATGTGACCTTATCTCATACTCCTGTAGCATCCCGGTAGTGAAGATGACCTTATCTCATACTCCAGTAGCGTCCCGGTAGTGAAGATGACCTTATCTCATACTCCTGTAGCGTCCCGGTAGTGAAGATGACCTTATCTCATACTCCTGTAGCATCCCGGTAGTGAAGATGACCTTATCTCATACTCCTGTAGCATCCCGGTAGTGAAGATGTGACCTTATCTCATACTCCTGTAGCATCCCGGTAGTGAAGATGTGACCTTATCTCATACTCCTGTAGCATCCCGGTAGTGAAGATGTGACCTTATCTCATACTCCTGTAGCGTCCCGGTAGTGAAGAAGATGACCCTCGTCTCATCCCGCCCTCAGCATCTGGGTTTCATCTTGAATTCCTGCTATTTTTCTTTACAAAGAGTTGCAATAAATCATATTTTTTAAACGCTTTGCTCTTAGGAAAATAAAACTTTCAATATTCGAGTGATTTTTTTTTTAAACAAGCAACATATTAAACTGCATAAGTGTTTTTTTTTTCATTTAAAAGCCACAACAGTATCTATTCTTTGTTTGGGAAGTATACTCGGTGTATACTGTGTTGGAAGCTGAGACTAATGTTATTTTACTCTTAGAGTAAATCAACTCGTTTTGCAACACTTAATTACTCAGGTAATCCCTTCGATATTTCTGCTCAATATTGGCATCGTTTATATCGGAACATTGTGTTGCAACTCTGGAGGACGGGAGGGTTGAGGGGGGGGGGAGGATTTTTATTCACTCATCTCACCTATATGTGCTCGTTTACATATACGTGCAGGGCAAGCTTTAGTCCCTGGGACCTGCCTTTTAATCTTTACAGACATGTATTTCATTGGCTCCTAATATTATTCTTTGCTAAATTGCCTGGTCTGGTTAACAGTGCAATGCTTTATAATCTGTCCTGTTCCTCCACCCATATTCACTCATCCTGTTCCTCCACCCATATCCTCTCGTCCTGTTCCTCCACCTATGTCCCCTTAATTTAATTTTGCCCCGAGGGGCGAGTTTATTGGGCAGCGCCACTCATCCTGTGAGTGGTCATACCGCCATAGCAGCATGTACAACACTCCCCAACAGGAAGAAAACCCGCTGGGTTGTTCATCGTGTCACTTGTACCCAGACACAGCTGGGACTTGCTTAACTGTCTCAAGTGAACAGCTCCTCAAACAAGAAGATTAACATTCGTCAACCCTTAAAATCTTACGTTATCTTGCGGGTGCAAAATGGGGAATCTTTTAATAACAGTATCTATATTTGACAAATAATATTTTCCTAACTCAAACAATGTGGGGTTTATTATTCTTCACATATTTCTAATGTCTCTCAGATGTTCACAGTCTCAAAGATAGTGGTCAAGGCGGTGTCCGTCACCACAGATTCTGCAACTCCGCTGCTCAACTGTTGTTTCCATTCCAAATCTCCATGGATATTTGTATCCAAGACGGATTCTCGCTTTTATTGATTCTCTCCCGCGGCCACCTCCTCTTCGTCCATAATCATTGGGATTGCCAGCTGCAACCTGTAGTACCAGCACACAGATTCACTGATATGTTCTTCTATCCTCCTTTCCTCATTAACCTTGTCACGGTGATATTGCCTGAAGACACCTCTAATTTGTAGATGATTCTTGGGTATGAAGTATTGAATGTGGTCTCCGTCAGCAGCCAGCACATCTGCTCGTTCATTTCCACATATTCCAACATGAGAGGGAATCCAAAGAAATTTGACAACTCTTCCCTGACTGGATGGTACTTTCACAGCTCACAGGATTTTCTGCCCGATTTTTAGTAAGGCTTTGAAGCGCTGCTTTTGAATCAGTTCAGATCACTGCACCATTAGTGTTTCTTTCAAGGAAACTTAACGCCATAACAATGGCAATTAACTCCGCTTGCGTTGAAGAGGCATTATTGCGTTCTGCATTCTGTTGCGTATTGCGTTCTCAATACATGCTTTCCTTTCATTTCTGCGTTGAAAGGCATTATTCCTAATTACAGTGTAGGGTGCACCAGCCCTGCCATCGAGAGGGTTAGATGATCCATCAGTGTAGATTTGATCAAGTTCATCTCCGGCTTCTTTATAAATTTCCTCGAGATACTTGTGCCTCATTTCTTGTGGTATCATGGATTTTTTCATTGCCATTTCATTGATGATAATCCTGCATGGGGCATCCACCCAGGGAGGTAACCTCTCTACAGGCACGAGCTCACCGGCTTGCTCAAGCAGATGAAATTCTTCGAGGTAGCAGACTGATCTGTGATGCCATTTTTTGCTACTCCTGTTTTTCCCTGAAAGAAGCACAGCGTTCATTTTTTTCTTGGCAATATCATTGTAATGAGGATCTCTGGCTATCTTGATTGCAAGCTTAGCATTCAGTTCCGGATTTCTGCTGTTAACACTGGGGAGGGACAACTCCTCTCGTAGATTAGATGTTTTGGCAGTTCTTGAGACTCCAAGAATGAGTGTCATGGCTTCATTTTGTATGCTTTCAAGTTTTTTCATATCACTTTGGGAGTAGGTGCACAAAACTGGTCCGGCACAGTCTATGACGGAGCGCACATAGGCTGTGTACATCATTTTAAGCACGGCAATAGAAGCTCCATGTCCATTCCAGGTCATGGCTTTAAGTGCCCCGAGTCGACTTCTACATGTTCCTATGAGTTGGTTGAGCTTCTCTTTCTTCCCCTTGTTAGAGCGGATAGTGACGCCAAAGTACCGATAGTGGTCAACCCATTCAAGTGTTACACCATTAATTTGTAGTTCTTAATTTTCTCCCCGCTTGAGATGTGAGTATGCTTGCGTCTTGTTTGTGGAGAGTTTGAACCCGAATTCAATACATTTCCTGCCTAGGAATTCAATGGACTGTTTCATTTTTCACGCGGTCGGAGCTTGCATTAGAACATCATCTGCATATCCCACGTGTTGTGTTCCTTCCGGATATTCAATATTTTCAATGGCATTCATAAGTATGTTAAATAGTGTGGGGCTTAAGACCCCTCCTTGGGGGGTCCCGAGTTCCACACTCATTGTTCTCGAGAGTGCTCTGTTGAAGCAGACCTTGCCTCTCCTCCGTGAGGTACTCTTCAATCCATTTCATGAGACTGAAGGGACACCCTTGCATGTATGGGTGTCCCTTGACACCCATGCATGCAAGCTCGTCCAGGATCGCAATCCCCTGCACTTTGTCGAAGGCTCCCTTAATGTCAACAAATACAGAACATTTAGCTGTGCCATTAGCCAAGGAATTAACTATGCAATTTGCCGTGCTCTGTCCTTTAACAAGTCCATTGACCCCCTCCCCTAACCTGTCTATTTTGTGTAACAGTCGGTTTAGGATGACCCTTTCAAGCATCTTGTATGTGCTTGACACGAGACTGATAGGTCTGTAATTGCCAGGGTCATTGGGCTTCGGTATGGGAACAATTATTGCGTGTTTCCATTGTGTGGGGCAACACTCCACTTACGAGTGATTTGTTAAACAGGTGGAGTAGTGGATTCCCAGACACTTCACACAGTGCATTGAGTATGTCGTAGGTGGCGCCATCTTCACCAGGTGCTATACTTTTACCCTTTTTTTCATAGCCGCCCCTTGCTCCTGTAGCATTATGACGTCAGTTTGGTGTTCAGGAACGTATTGTATGATGTCATTAAGTCTACCGCGAACTCTATTCCAGTCCTCTCGTCCTGCTCCTGCACCCATGTCCTCTCGTCCTGCTCCTGCACCCATGTCCTCTTGTCCTGCTCCTCCACCCATGTCCACTCTAGTTCCGGCAGCCGTCAAGGTGTCTAGTGAAGGCAACGTCTTCATTATGACAGCAACAAAGGTAGGTCACCTTTGATGCCCTCAAGAAGCAGTTATCAAAGCAAGTGTATGAGTGATGACACTCATGGCAGCGGGCACTCTCATCTCCTTGGTCCTTGTATGAGTGAACGCCATAAAGGATGAGATGAAGTGTCAAACAGACATTCCACAAACAAGGTGCCAAGTACAGTCCCAAGCATCAAGTTTTACACTGATATATATCATAGATTCCCACCAGACTCACATTTTCTCTCTCTCTCTCTCTCTCTCTCTCTCTCTCTCTCTCTCTCTCTCTCTCTCTCTCTCTCTCTCTCTCTCTCTCTCTCTCTCTCTCTCTCTCTCTCTCTCTCTCTCTCTCTCTCTCTCTCTCTCTCTCTCTCTCTCTTATGAGTCACTGTTATCATCCTCTCTCCCTCTCTGAGGAACTTTGGCCAATAAATCAGAGAGTTTTTAAGCCCCCATGGAACAACAGTTTGGTTGTAATCCCGGGTGTCCAATATATAAGCAAGTGCCTCAGTTAGAAGACCGACCTGAAGTGGCTGTTGGAGTGTCTTGATCAGGTTACACTCCTTAGTTCAGTGAGTCTGTATCGGCGCTTAGTGATGGTATGATGATTGTGATGCTTCGGATAGTGGTGCTGGTGGTGGTGATGGTCTTCGTGGTAGTGATGATAGGTAATATGATGACTGGTAGTAAGTAGTAATGGCGATTGTGATGATGGTGGTGACAGTGACGATGTTCAGGTTATGAGGATGATGATCATTATGGTGGTGAGGATATAATGGTGATAAATGAAATGCTTGCAGCAACCTGTCCTCTTAAAAAGAACGTCGCTTTTGGCCGTTTGTCCGTATGGCCGAAAGTGGACGTAATTTGAAAATGAAAAAAAAATGAAAATAAATTTGGGATTTTTTTTCAACAACAGTAAGTTAATTGATTAACTAGTTTTATATGAAAATGGCTTTAATTAGTCCAAGTTATAGCCTCCCAGCTTAAATAGAAATGGAGAACAAATAAAAACCGAAATTTTCAATAAAATTTCAACATTTTACAAAATTTTATAGCAAATACAATTGTCAACTGAAATCATTTCTATAACACTCAGCTACCACAAGAGCAGATAATAAAGGATTCTCACAAGTTTTGTCTCCAGTATATATTTAGTTTGACTGCAAAGAAAATCTTCACCCTAAAAATTATACAATAAATTGATGGAAATAAATATTTATAAAATAAGTAAATGAACTTATGACAGAAATAGGTGGTGACATTTGTAGAGTCAGGAACTCTACATATAAGGTGCAAGTTTCATGAATTGATTTAAAAATCAGAACGGTGTAAATGTTTTATATTGTAAATTACTTACTTGAAAAATTGATATCAAAGACACTGCCATCTGTGTGGCTGAGGTTGACGTCAACCAATTTCCTTCACAATTGGCACCCTTATAGTTAGGCATGCATTCAGTAAGGCGAATAAGTTTCATGAAAATCGCCTAATAAAAAAGAGGAAATGCAAAATAAAACAAAATAAAAATTATATTTGGATAAAACTAAGTGGTTTAACCCTTTATTAGATGCAATTGTGATAGCAGTGTCATAGAAATAACTTCAGTTGACACATATGTTTGATAATTTTTGAAGTTTGAAATTGAACAACTTTCAATTTTAGGGAATTTATACTACCTTTCGTTAAGGTAGTATAGAAATTAAAATGTATGTTCAATTTTGCTATTACAGTAGAGTATAAATGCACGAACTCATAATGTTGACATTTTTTAATTAGGCTTCGGAGGCTGTAATTGACGATATTGATGACAGTAATGGTGTGATAGATGATGATATTGATGACAGTGATGGTGTGATAGATGATGATATTGATGACAGTGATGGTGTGATAGGTGATGATATTGATGACAGTGATGGTGTGATAGATGATGATATTGATGACAGTAATGGTGTGATAGGTGATGATATTGATGACAGTGATGGTGTGATAGGTGATGATATTGATGACAGTAATGGTGTGATAGATGATGATATTGATGACAGTGATGGTGTGATAGGTGATGATATTGATGACAGTAATGGTGTGATAGATGGTGATATTGATGACAGTGATGGTGTGATAGGTGATGATATTGATGACAGTGATGGTGTGATAGATGATGATATTGATGACAGTAATGGTGTGATAGATGATGATATTGATGACAGTAATGGTGTGATAGGTGATGATATTGATGACAGTAATGGTGTGATAGATGATGATATTGATGACAGTAATGGTGTGATAGATGATGATATGGATGATATTAACGGTATGATAGATGATGATATTGATTGTGTGATAGGTGATGATATTGATGATAGTGTGACTACTTAGAGTAATGATGACAACACCTTTTAATCTTTTCACCAGCACTCCTCCTCCTCCTCCTCCTCCCTCTTCCCTTCCCCCCTCCCTCACCCCCTCTCCCCCCCTCACCCCTTCTACTCCCTCCCCCCTCCCCCACCTCCATCTACCCCCTTAAGATCTCTAGGCAACAACAAGTAAGGTTTGTATTTAATTAAGAAAAACAAGAACATAGTTGTTGTTGTGTTGGTCTTTGATGCTCAGACTTGAGGGTGTGTTCACGCTGACGGTTCCCCCGTAAGACGCTTAAGTCCTGGGATAACGATACCTTTTGTGCTCGCTGCCTTGGGTGCTGTGTGAGTACTCGTGCAGCTGTGCTTTGCAAGATGTTGATGTTCAGCTCTTGGATCCCGCCTCTTGATTTTCACCAAACTGGTGTAAAGGATCTCCGCTGGCTAGCCATTGGGGGGGGGGTCTCTGTCACGTCTAAATTTGCAGCCGTGTGTATTTGGAGTTTGACTCCACCCGCCTCTCTGCTGGGCCTGGAGCTGGAGCTGGACATGGACCTGGACCAGGCCTGGACCTGGATCTGGCATGGAACTGGACCAGGCCTGGACCTGGCCCTGACATGGACCTGGACCAGGCCTGGTCCTGGAACTGGCCTGGACCTGGACCAGGCGTAGACCTGGACCAGGCCTGGACCTGGAACAGGCCTAGACCTGGACCAGACCTGGACCAGGCCTGGACCTGGACCTGGCATGGACCTGGACCAGGCCTAGACCTGGGCTCTCTCATTTATTCAGTCATCTGACACTAAAAATTGTACAATAATATCTGTATGGCTCAAAAATTGTACTAACGTTTCCACGTGTCGCTTTGTTAAATGAGCACACTTATGTGAAAAGTCTGTTCTTGACCTGTCTACTTCAGTAAGTAAGTATTTTGTAGGCGGTGATCATGTCTTCCTGTATCATCTGTTATTCAGTGACATATGAAGTTTAATTCAATTAAGCATTCCGGTATGCTCCCAGGTTTCGGAATTGTCAGGTTGCATATATGAAGACTTTTCTCACTTTCGTTTGATCTGGAAAAAAGAATAGTGTCCTTGATGGCGCCGCAAATGTCACGATTGGTCTGACATACGTCGTATGGAAGATTCTGAAATACTCACTATTAACATTCAAAATGCCTCGCTTATAGTGGCCGACCTTGCATATACAGCTGATGACATCCGGTTCATGTTGATTTAGGGAAACTGCTTTATCCCTAGATATTTTTCCGCTTTACTCCAAGTTGATCTTCACTCCTGTTTAGTGCCTACGTCTTGCCTCCTATGTCCAGCACTCAGCCTCATTACTTTGCACTTGGTTGAGTTCAACTCTAGTTACCACATGTTGGACCAGTCTTTAACCATCATTTGTTAAAGGTCTTGTAGTCTTCTTCCGTATTCATCTTCTTCATGTTTTGGTGGTCTTCAGCAAACACTGAGAAGGAGGAGTCACTCCCCTCTGGGAAGTAATTTACATATATCAGAAAACAAAAGAGCTCTATACTAACGCCATGTGGGGGAGGGGGGGGGACTGGGAACGGCCCTCCCCCCATTTGTGTGTGTGTACTTACCTAGTTGTACTTACCTAGATGTGCTTGCGGGGGACTGAGCTCTGGCTCTTTGGTCCCGCCTCTCAACTGTCAATCAACTAATGTACAGGTTCCTGAGCCTACTGGGCTCTATCATATCTTCACTTGAAACTGTGTATGGAGTCAGCCTCCACCACATCACTTCCTAATGCATTCCATTTGTTTCCAATCCCTAGTTCGTACAAGAGAACGCTTTCCCTCTGACTCCAAAGCCACTGGCACACCTTGCTGGGAATAACTGGGAATAAAGTTGGAGCAAGATGTCCCTTTCCAGATTAATAACATATCAGGAACGTCTAACTGAAGGTTGCTGAAGTGTAATAGACTTATTTGGTCTTTATCGAATTTGAAAATATTGATTTTTTTTATACAGTATAATTACATTTGGCGACATTCATACTCAACATGAATTTTAACTGCAGATAAATGCAATTTGATGGAGGTCTCAGACACATCAAAGGAGAGATTGACTTCTTTGAGGTACGGAGGGAAGGCGGCGTTCATCTCCACCACACAGCATCAACATAAACAGCATCCGGGACACTCGTTCAATCTCTGGAGATCTGCGAGTGAAGGGGAAACCCTTTCTATCTGCAAGTGAGGACGAACCGCAGAGTTATTCAAAGATGCTGGTGCAAACGATCTCTGGCCACCGTGGGTAGAGGGCACGTCTCTGGCAACATTTTGTCTACTTGGTCAATTGCTATTAGAATCTTGCATGTCGTTATCATGTCCCCCCCTCTTCCTTCTCCCCACCAGCGTCGTGTGATTCAATTTTCTTGTATAGTTTCTGGCAGCTCTCCCTCTCAGGGGATTTTCTGGTATCTCTCTCTCTCTCTCTCTCTCTCTCTCTCTCTCTCTCTCTCTCTCTCTCTCTCTCTCTCTCCTCTCTCTCTCTCTCTCTCTCTCTCTCTCTCTCTCTCTCTCTCTCTCTCTCTCTCTCTCTCTCTCTCTCTCTCTCTCTCTCTCTCTCTCTCTCTCGCTCTCTTGTTGTAACTGCTACCTTTAGCCGTATATTTATTGCCATAAAGAATTATCATAATATAACCCGAAAATTATACGACGGTAATTATATTTTCCATTATTTTAAAATATGGAAATAACTAAGTTACCATTAATATATCCCCCTCGATATATGCATATAAATAAGTAATTCAATTCCAAAAAATGTACTGGAAAGCCTTCATTGTTTTGAAGCATGTCTCATTTTTTACTGAATGAGGAAATGCCCAATACATTTTCTCTTGCAAGTGAAAGGCACCTCACACGTCCTCTGTGTGAGGCAGTCTCTCACCTCACACAACAAGAGACGGGCACCTCACACCTCCTCTGTGTGAGGGAGGACCCATCACCTCCGCCTCCCCCCCCCCCCCACCCATCAAATATCTACACGTGGCCGTCTCTCTCTCTTTGTTATGTAAACAATGAACCCTGTCCTCCCATAATCAATTCCATTCCGTTTTCTATGAAGGCGTCATAATTACTAGGAATACTGTCGATATTTCTGCTATGCTGCAGTTTGATACTTCATAGTTCACAGCTACATTTTATATAAGATGATTTATTATTCATCTTATATATATATATATATATATATATATTATATATATATATATATATATATATATATATATATATATATATATATATATATATATAATTAGGCTAGAGAACGGATTGTGTGCATTACGTTAAATTCATGGAACCATCTCTTCTATTCCAGACGCCCTCAATCCTTTGATCATATTCCAGGCCACGTCCAGGCCTGGCCTTGTCCTGGACCGTCTGGGCCAAGAATCTCTTTTTCATTTTATTTCACACACAAACACACCGGTGTTCTGTGACTGGCCTAACCTAACCTATTCTAACCTATCCAGTCCTAACCTAACCTTGTATGAAAGCTTTCAAAGATTACTATGATCTGCTGACATTTGAATCTATGTATGACAGATGCTTACATAATTATAGTCAAATGGTAATTATATCCTGATCTTACCAATAATAATTGTAATCTCACGCTCCTGAGACCTGATCTCACTCTGTAGAGATCAACACACGGTTTTGACTTCTTGGCTTCGCTCAACCGCATAGATTAATCTTATTTTGAACCACAAAAGTAACAGCAGGATTGAATTGCTGTTCCTTTTATTTTTTTTAGTATATTTTAAACCGTAAACGCGGCCGCTCAGTTACAGCGTTAACAAACATATATTCACTTTCTTCTGTCCTCCATGGACAGAGTTTGAGATCTATTATGTTTTTTATCTTTATCTGTTTGGTGGGAGGGGGGCAACCCGTTCTCGCACTTTCTTTAAGTCAATACTGACTTATTAAATAAGTGCATATGTGACATATTAGTTTATTTTGAATATTTTAGTTTTCCTTGAAAACCTTCATAGAAAACACCGACCTTACCTAACCTTCTTAGTATGTTAAGATAAGCATCTTATTGCTTCGTAATTACAATTATTTCTTAACCTATTATAGGTATAGTACAGCCTTTAGAAACTTGTGTAAGGAATCTTTTAGAATTTAGTATACCACATATGTCAGACCAATCCTGGAGTATGCGGCTCCAGCATGGAGTCCATATCTAGTCAAGCATAAGACAAAAACGGGAAAAGGTTCAAAGGTTTGCCACCAGACTAGTACCCGAACTGAGGGGTATGAGCTACGAGGAGAGACTACGGGAATTAAACCTCACGTAACTGGGAGATAGAAGAGTTAGAGGGGACATGATCACCACATACAAGATTCTCAGAGCAATTGATAGGGTAGATAAAGACAGGCTATTTACCACAAGGGGCACACGCACTAGGGGACACAGGTGGAAATTGGGTGCCCAAATGAGCCATAGAGACGTTAGAAAAAAATTTCAGTGTCAGAGTAGTATACAAATGGAATGCATTAGGAAGTGATGTGGTGGAGGCTGACTTCATATACAGCTTCAAGTGTAGATATGATAGAGCCCAGTAGGTTCAGGAACCTGTACATTAGTTGATTGACGGTTGAGAGACGGGACCAAAGAGCCAGAGCTTAACCCCCGCAAGCACAATTTGGTGAATACAATTAGGTGAGTACACACATTCATCCCTTTCCAACCTTACCGCAAATATATTTCAACATGAATATGCAATCAAAATGCAATTCTTGAAAAATACAAAGTGTGTTTGCGTGAGCGAGTCTCGCTGGGGAGTGCTTGAACAGGTGTGGACGATTCTGGACACCCACTTAACACACACACACACACACACGCACACACTGATATATACTGATATATACACTATCATATATATATATATATATATATATATATATATATATATATATTATAGATATATATATATATATATATATATATATATATATATAGATAATATGCAGAATAACCA